ATGAATTGCGTAATGTTTTCTTTTGTTACTGCCATTTTTACAACAGATTATTAAACAACAAATTAGTAGCTGTATGCTTGCAAGCCTTATTACGGATATATATTGATATATCCGTGAACATCACTTATTTAAAAGTGTTAGAATCTGTTTTAAAGAATCCTGTCTGAATAAAAGGTATTAATTAATTCTTGAATGACTTAAACAGGCAATCCAAAAATTAATAATTTCAATATTAACAATCAATATTATCAATATTAATTTTTTTAGATGCTCGACTGCAAGAAAAAAGTGCTAACTAGTATGGATTTTCGGAATTGTTTTCAACGACTGAACACTTTCGCCATCTTTAACTACCAAATACATTAACGATAAGTACCACGCGAGAAAGGGACGCAGCTGAAGCAGGCATATCTTACAAACAGAAAGAATTACAGCAGAAATATCTTCAGCATTCTTCGTATTCTTTAGCTGCAACTCTGTTTGTGGTACCACTCTTTCAATTAGTACCAGCGAAACTCTTTAGGCAACTGAACAATATCGCCTTCTTCAACCGCATTTTCTTTGTGTTTATGGTATTAGTCTTATACTTAGTTGCAAGCAGCAACATCTTCAGCAACTGAACACTATCGCTTCTTCAGCTGCAATATTTTCTGGTTGTACTAACTGTCTTTTATTTATTTGCTGATAAAACGTTTCCAGCAAATGAATATTATTTTCTTCCCTCACCTGCTTCAGCTTTCTCTTTCCGTTTAAGGTACTTGTCGCTCATTTCATTGCAAATAAAAGACGATAATCCTTAACTATTGAAAATGCTTTTTCTAAAGTAAAATCTATGTCAGTTAAAGTTATTTTGCTTCTACTTAAGTTTAAATGGCGTGCCATTCTTTCTCAATTTCAGGAGATGCCGAACCTTAAACACTTGTAAAGTACACTTTCTCCCTCCTTAACATATGCCTTCGGAGTATAACTGGAAGCACATCCGACTAACAGCTGGGAGGCTCGGACTTCGAATTTCGGTGAGGCCACTGTACATTTTCACGTTTCCTGCTCTGACAAACCTAATGACTATATGCTCTTTCCGCTACTTAATTACCTCAACTATTATAAAAACTATATGATACTATAATAAACTGCGTGATATATATAAAACTATATGATATTTATTATAAAAACTACCTCAACTATATGACTTAAAGGAAGGTATAAAATTCCCATTTCTGTAATGAGTTAGTTCTCTTGTATTGCCAAAGTCCGAGAAACAGATGACTCCGTTCGTTCAACTGTTTACAAAAGCAGACAAATTAGGACGTTTGGGAATTATCAGATATTAGTCATCACAGAAAAGACAGAGCTACTTTTGTGCGAATTATTAAAAATGAATAAAATTTAAAAAAACCAAGGACAAAACGGAAAAAAAAAAAAAAACAGTGACAGTGTGCTGTTGAAATGTCAAAGACAGTTTCTGAAAAGCCTTTACATTTAAAACAATACTGTTAGGTTGTTGTGTGTGATACAATCTTTGCAAATGGAAAAGAATAGTATCGATCATCTTCACTGCAGCCTAATAGAAGGCACACGAAATACTGCGCAAAAAACAACACACTTGTCAAAAGATATGTCAATCAAGCTTACTGAAACTGTTTTTTCGATTATTATTACATGATACCCCATGCATATCATCTCTGGCTATCGACTGAATTGAAACTGTCAAATGCTAGATATGATGTCTTTTTTATTCCCGGAGGGCTTTGTTTTCATTATCTTTAAAAAATTTTATTTTTGAAGTCAAGCAGATATGTAAACGTATTAAAAGACTTGTAGATTACAAATCTTCCAGAACTGAGGAATTTTCTTAGTACAGAAGCAATTGTTTAGTTTTATTATTATTATGTAGGGTTTTATTTTAATTAAGCTGTTATCCTGTTATTTCCTACGTACATTTTTTCCGCTTTCGTCGGCTCCCCCCCCCAGTATGGGAAATTAGTTAATGTATGTATAATAAGCGCTGAGTCCTTGAGATCGAGATAGAGATTTTGGCAACTATCGCTGACTCTTAGTCTATTATTTCTCCCTAAGAATTGAATTATTGAACTCTGCTTTAGCTTCACTAACCGTAACTGCTTCGTGAAAGACTGAGTTCCACTCTGTCTGTCAAAGTTTAGTAGATGTGTTTTATTTTGCATTTAATATTAATTTAATTTGACTTCAGCGTTTGTTCTGAGGCTCTCATAAGCTGCGAAGACATGATTTTCTGTTATTGTTGCTGTTCTTAAAACATATTCATCTAATGATACTCCTCTTAAATTGCGAGTTATTGACTTGCTTAAAGTCAACTTATTCACAAGCACAGGGCTAAATTTCAACATCATTTATTTACCAGCTAATGGTAGATTACAACTGATGTGGCTTAGCTCACTTGTTTGACAATATTATCAGAAAAAATCAACGAATGCTATCTCGGCGAGGAACGTAGGATTGTAATGTAATGTAATATACAAATGTTCTGTAACCCTCCTGGCCGACAAGAATCCAGGGCACACACAGGATTGTTCCTCACTTTGGCTGGGCCTCATATACGCCACAATACGACTTTGCTCAGTTACGTCCTAGTTTTGAAAGTGAATTAATTCCCTGAGGGTATCCCCTATAAAAATCATCAAAAATAGAGGAGAAAATAACTTTTATTGAAACTAGATCACAAAGTAAACAAAGTCGCAAGAAAGAGTAATAAATCGCACAGCTGGTCTAAAAATGAGCTACTTTTCAAAAATTTTTTATTTTTTTTTTTATTTTACTATTGAATTCTATGCGGCGTAAGTGGGAAGACATCATTTTTTTCTTAAATCTTTTTTTTTTAAGAAAATTTGAAAGGTTTCAGATTTTAAATTACGTCCAAAGGGACGTTATTTAACATTTTGTGTGTTACCTTTTATTTGTTAAATATCATGTTTGCACTTAAACCATAAAATTCAGTTCAATAGCAATGTCGCAAAATAATTTTAAAATGAGCATATCTTTAGAATTTCCGATACACAGTTCCGCGCCCGCTGGAGATAAAAAGGTTCCCCCCCCCCCGCCGCAGAGTGTTGCCATTGCTCGCTTTTAAATCGTTGAGTTTGTTACTCAAAAATTCGTTAAAGTTTTGCAAAATATGAAATTGATAATAAAACAAAATTCGAATTTGGGCTTCCAAATGCCCGTATTAGAGTAGAGGACTACGTTATTCAAATTTGATGTCTCCAGTTACCATCGTTTTCTCACAGTGCTGGAAATCTATTTATGCTGGATGCATCTATTCTTGCAGATTCTTCATTATTTAATTTCTTTAAATATAACGCAGGGCTCTAATATTTGGTGGCAACAATTTGCCGTTTACAGTGAACCAACTCATGAGTCGAGTTACTCTTAAACACCGTTAATCGATTTTCTATACTAGAATTGGTTACACCGCAACTTCATAACGATTTCAAACAGAAGTACGTTTACTCTGGAACCCGATTAATCGGTTTTTAAATAAGACCAATTACTTCACAAACCAGTTAATCGGTTTTTAGTCAAGGGCCGGTTGCTCTGCAACCCTAAAGCTTTTAAACAAGAGTCCGTTTATTCTGTAACCCGGTTAATCGGCTTTTAAACAAGAGCCGGTTATTCCACAACCCGGTTAGTTTATGTTCAGGGACTGGCTGTTCCGTAACTTCTTTAATCGATTTTTCTACAGCAACTGGTCACTCTGTAATCTGGTGAATTAGTTTTTTAACTGGACCCGGTTACTCCGTAAGGAACCCGTACTACGGAATTTCGTTAATTGGAAGTTGACTGCCCACTCGCTGCTCGTCCAAAGCGGCATGTTCAGAAATAAACCCGTTCTTCGTTTACAGATCCGTTTATTGTAAATAAATAAATAGATAAAAAATATCAACGCGGAGCCCATTGTTATTCCGTGGTTGTTCACGCAGAGGTGTACACCCCGAATGCGTGGAAGCTTCAGTTCCGGCGTTAGCTGGCAGAGAAGTTAGTTAGTCGGGCGCGACCTTGACACGCTGCCAAGTTTTTCGAGACAGAGAAATAAAAATAAACAAACGCTAAGTAAATAAACAAAAGTAAAATAAATTAATAGCAGATGCACCTTCCCAATGCGGACTCTCGCAAATTCTAGAGCTGCATCGCTGTCAGTTTCGGTTTTGGACTTTTTTTAGTTATCTAAATAGGTAGCTTAATAAAGTATTTCTCCTCTCATATTCTATTCAAAATTTATTTTTAAAATAATATAATGCAACCACAATTTTCACTATAAAACAGAACAGCAGAACAAATTGGAATAGCATTGTGTAAGCATTTTGGACCTTGAAACACTTCGGAAGATTCAAAAATATTTAAAAGCTCTGTCAAAAGAGAATCATTGTTGAAAAGCAAAAATACCGCAGAATTTTTCCACCGAGTTCTGGGTATCAGCTGAAAAAACACGAACAGATAATCGCTCGGAACGCGAAACTGAGTTGCTGCTAAAGCGATCTACATGGCTCTCAGAGAAAAGCGACCATTTGTCACCGTAGAAGTGCTAAAATTATTTCATCGCCTAATCCCGAAATAGCTTTCTTCTATAATAAGCTAGTCATTTCATAGGATGACACTCGGTGCGTATCCGTCGTCCTCCATTTCGTGTTCGTCTACTTTTACGCGAAAGAAAGCTTTTACGCGATTTGCAGCTGCTGTGCTGAGAATTTCTGAATGGGATATCGGGAGTTCCAAGTGCGTGCAGTAATCATTCACTTTACTAAGTGGTTCAAGTGAAACTTCTTGTGTCGGCAACTGTTGAGAGGCACAGCATTTCAATGCAAAAAAAAAAAAAAAAAAAAAAAAAAAAACAGTTCTTAGCCTATTGACCTGAAGATACACACTTTCATAACCATTTCTGCAATGGTTTTAAAAATTTTAAATGTTGTGTAATAAGAGTTTCAGGCAACAACGTATGATTTGAAATGACAGATATTATGTGTTACCTTGAAGCTTATTTTCCGTTCAAAAATACAGGGTGTTTATTAAGTCCCGGACCCATTGTGATGTTTATTCCACGTGTGCCCCCTTCGTCGCACGGAGAATATCAAGTTGATGTTCAATTTCACGCAAGGTACCTTCAAGCATGTCGGCATCCACAGAGGCTATTGCGGTTGTAATTCTGGCTTTTAGGTCATCAATGTTCTACACTCTCCTCCTGTAAACGTTGTCCTTTACAAATCCCCAAAGGAAAAAGTCCATAACATTGCAATAGTTGCCAAAAACAAAACAGAGAAAAATGCAATTAATAAGCAAATGATATTTAGAAAAGTACATATATTTAGACTGGAAAATGAAATTATCTGAAATTAACCACACACGCAGACGATATTTACAAAAGTAAAGATATTCAAACCTGAAAAGGAAAATATATAAGTTATTCCATTAATAAATGCCATATATTAGTTTATATCTTCATTATTTTATGAGTTATTAAACATCAAAATGGATCTGGGACTTTATAAAACACCTTGTATAGTAAACGAACAACTATTTGTGGATTTTGACGCCATTTGGAGGATTCTCTTCGGAATAAGGATTTCTAACAACTTATAATTTGAAATTATACATCCTGTCTGCTACTTTATCGTTTATTTTTCGTCCAAAATAGCGTTCAAACCAAATAAAAATGTTACAAACAGGTCATATATAGAAGGATGCGTTTGCCAAGGAATGCTGTTTAAAGAATTTTTATCGGAATAAGAAGTTTTGGTGACAAAGTATTCTCTATTAAATGTTGTGAAATAAGCATTTCTGGCCACAACGTATAAATTGAAACAAGAGTTTGAATGTTGTGATATAATGCTGTTTAGCATTCTACATTGAATGTTGTTTAATATTATTCATTAAATGTTGAAAAATATAATTTTCCGGCAACAACGTACAAACTGAAATGGCAAGTATTATTGTAATACTTTGAAATTTGTATTTCGTTCAAAATATCGTATGTAAGCAAGCTGTGGATCAAATTATTATTATTATTATTATTATTGGTCTTTTCGGAAAAGAAATTTTCCTATTCCATTAAATGCTCTCAAATACGAATTCCTAGAAGTAAAAAGTATAATTTGATGACAATAAAAATATTATTCATTAAATGTTGTGAAATAAGAGTTTCTGGCAATAATGTAAAATTTGAAATGGCAAATATTATCTGTAACATTGAAGTTTACTTTTCGTTTTAAATACCGCAAGAACGCCGTCTCTCATACATTGTCGGTAACGTATACATTTGCAGCAACAACCAGGCAAAATAATACACACCGATTTATAGCTTTAACAACGACACAAAGAAAATTTTAATAAGGGACTGAGGATTGTTGAAAGTTTCTCTTAGAATAGAAAGTTAAAAACAAGAACACAGAAGATGGGAATGTTATTAAGTAACTCATTATACTACCAGGAAAATATTTCATGTTTAATACACATGGCAAGATATGAGAAGCTGGATGGGGACAACAGGATTTAAGCTACGGTGTACGGAACCAGGCCGACACTTAAGTTTTCTACCGCCCAGTGTTTCCTTAAATTTTAAAAATTCTGCTTCCCGGTGCCGACGCCCAGGCTCTCGTGCCGGATTTGTAATGAAACCTAACTGTGAAGACTGCAAAACGACTTATCTCCTCCTCCTAATCTTTCAGTGAAGTAACACCAACTCAGGAGAGGGTTTTAGTTCTTCAACCTACCAACTTATATAAATCGCTTAATAATAGAAAGATTCCGATGCTTTTGACATTCAGAAGATTAAAGTAAAACTTTATTGTTCAAAACATGAGCTTTACCAAACAACGCCTGCCTAGAAGTCTTGGCTCAGGCCTTCGACTCACGGGAGCGAACATGGCTAACAAAAGCCGCAGCTGAATTTAGTCAGAAGGTAGGGCAAAATCGTATTCAGACCATAAAAGGTCACTGCCCCCCCCCACAAAAAATATTTCTGCAAAATTCAAGAATTCTGCTCTTATTGTATATTAACCTAAATCTGCATCCTGGTAGGAACAGGTAGAAAGTAAATATGATAACATACGCAAAACTAAAGGTAACTGGTTAATAAACAGACGGGAAAAGAGCTTTTCGGCTCGCAAATGCCCCCTTACCGCTTACACATTAAATCACTTACAAATTTCCTAGTTTTCACCGAAATAACAGCCAGACACACAATTTGGTAGGAAGAATCGTTAACCATAATACAGATGAGGGGGGCATCAAAATTCTATTTCGCTATTCCTACAACCTTTAAAGGGTAAAGCTGCACCAAGACGAAGGGGTCACTCATACTTTGAAAGCTACCGCTAAATTGATTAAAAGTGACTCTTAAAAGTATTGCTCCTACATTTAACGTTTTTCCAACATATTCTTGCGAAGTCTCGGACATTTCTCCCATTGACTACGATGCCTCTAGCCTACTTAAAAGAGTTCATCTTCAGCAGAAACCTATCATGACTGAATGCCTCTAGAAACTTGTTAACGACAAACAGAAAGTAATATTCCTGGAGAATTTACCAAAAGTCCTTCTGCCATGGAAAGTACGATGCAAACTAATTTCTAAAAATATATATCAAATTGAGCATTTAAATTTTGAATTTTAAATTAAATGTAAAAGTATTTACATTCTAAATATAAATCAAATGCCCATGAAATCGTTCTAAAATTTATTAACACCTTCTGTATTTTAGATTACATTCATACTGACTAGCGGGCCGGGAAAACCACTGTTGTAAAAGCTAAAAAAAGAACCATTAGGTCCTGGAACGGATTAATCCATTTTCCAGTTAATTATAAGGACAAAATGTTTTTGGCTTACGAACATTTCGGATAATGAAAATCTTTCACGAAAGAATAAATTTCATGAACACTGCATAATAACTAAATCCCTTATTATATTTTCGAGTTCAATAAATTAAAAAATATTTGGAAATAGTTATTTTGAGGATAACAAGTAATACCTCATTTATCTTAAAGTAATATTTTTAATTAATTTGTTCCAACAACAAGATAATACTTTTTAATTTTTATTTATTGCAAACAGAAGATGCCTATGAAATTTCTGATCTAAATTATTTAATCAGAAAAGATATTAAGGATAATCAAATTCAAAATTAAAACAATTAATTGCTAGTTGTTTATTGACATCCTATGAAAGATTTCAAATCCTTACGGAATTTTTACAATAACGCTTATATCAAAGAGACTGCACTGGATTGAGTTACTCGGATTGTAGTAAAACAAGCGAGAGCTATCTGCCTATGGAGGCGGACGCCTTTTATAGGTAAACAGGCTTTTATTTACGTTACACATACGGAAAATCATAAAAGTTCCCATGAAAGCGCTCCGTCCGTTCACCGTTTTTTGTATCTGTGTCGAACTGCCAGTGTTCAGTAATCTTACCTCTCGGGCGCTGATGTGATCATGTCTACACACAAAAATATATACACAAAATATATGACACAAAAATTATATTTTCGTACGGTAGCTTATTTATTCCTGCTGTTCACAGAACTAACATCGATTTCTAGCGCAAGAGAAAGGTACCGAAAAAACAAACTGTAAAAAACCTTTTCTAAAAATTAGATATATGAATGTGTAGTATAAACAACTTTATTAACGTGCGTAAATTAGTGAGTTTACAAAGAAAAACATGCTAATAAGTCTGTACAGAACATTTTTACCTTTTATAATAGTTAACTTTTACTTAATCTAAATGTTAAAGTAAAAGCAAATACGAAAAGACAACCGAATTCCAACACTAATTTTAATTTAAGTTGGTAATTGTAACATGGTAAAATTGGTAATTGGCTCAGTTGCTGAAGTTGGTAATTGTAACATAATGGAAACATTTTGCAAAAATTTCCGTATCGCTACTTGCGCAAAATATACGATTTAGTTTTTTCAAAACGCATAACTAATTGAAGTATTCTAGAATTACGCATGTTCATTGTCTGGTTCAGTGTTATGTCTAGTGTATATTTGTTCAGTGTTATGTCCACTGCCTGATTTTTGAATATTCAAATACGAAATTTTAAATTTGTTCCTGTTTGTAATTTTATTTTTAAAACCTAGAATTAAAAAACGATATTAAAATGTTACTTATTGTAACTATTATTGAAGTATTCTGAGGCCCTTTTGCAGCGGAAGTACGAGGCCCATGTTCAATCGGTTTCGTTTTGAAAGAATAAGATCGCGGTCACGGTATTTTATCTTAATGTATTCATAAATCGAGACATTTGAGTTCCGTTTTGACCAAAACTATATTTCTTTCAGATCTTGGGATGCATGGAATATTGTTAAAAGTTAATAGTTTTTGTTAATAGTGAAGTAATTAAAAAGTGAGCAAATTTCAACCTACCAGAGAAGAATAAGTTGTATTTTTGTACTCGAAAACATTTTCCCGAAATTCTTTAAACTTATGTTGCAATTCGATTATACGAAAACACACAGCAAACACCATTCGAGCTTCGATTTCCTGTCGAGTTGCTGACAGAAAAGGCGAGAAGGCTCTATGTGCGGATGGATTGGAAATAACATCACATATCCTGTGCACCTGCTAGCTTCCAAAACATGGAAGTGAATTGGCTATCGATTCGCTTTCCTGCCGGATATTAATTGCGTGATTTCGCTCCCGGTGCACACAAACAAGACACCGAACAATACACGACAAATGAAAATGCAGGCTGATGTTCTTCGACTGGACACGTCGATCAATGAGTAAATGGGCATTTTCGCCCTTTCTGCATCTTTGCTTTGCGTGCGAGGAACAATTAGTGGATTCTTTAGAGAAAACAGACTTTATTTTTTCAAACGGAACCCAGAGAAAATGCATCGGTTTACACACCTAGTGCAGCCTTTGACATTTCCGAGGAGAGCTAAAAATATGTCCTAATTTAAGTAAGTACATTAGTTAATCGAAGTTATAAATCAATGAATTTAAAAATGGCAACGGGTATCATTAAGCGAAAAAGAAAATTCTCCAGATAATGTTTGGACTTATTAAAACAAATTGGATAAGATTTTATTTTCACCTACCAAATCGCATAGGCGGATGACAGTGATAGCCAGTGACGCAATTCGGCAGCAACGCTCTTCAGTTTAAAAATTATACATTAGCTTGCAAAATTCCAAAATGAAATTTGACCTCTTCTAACGCTCGTCTTTACCAAGTAAACA